CTGTTGGATACGTAACTCAACGACAAGCTCTAGAGAATACAAGATCAAAAGTGAAAAAGTGAGAACATTTAAGAATGCTGCACTATACACAAATTGACTGACTGACTAATTGACTGACTGACTGACTGACTGCTAGACTGATTGACTGACCAACTGACTGACCGATTGAATGATTGGTTGTTTGGCGGGTTGACTGGTTGAATAATAACGAAGCGCGCGAAGTCTAAAAATAGAATGCAGATTATTGGAACCTCGCGAGAGTCAGACGACATAATTGTGTTCTGAGAGAAATGGGAGGAAAATGAACGCCAATTTTTCATTTTAAAAATTGTTTTAGGAACACTTGCTTACGCGCTTGAAAAAGTGTCAAATCTTCCACCATTCCGTTTTGTTTGTCTAAGTTTGTCTAAGTTATGACGTCACTCGCGCGCTTCGCTATTAGTTATTTGACTTATTTACTGATTGACCTATGGACTGGTTGACTGATGGAATGAATTGTTGAGTGAATGAGAGACTGCCACAACAGCAGACTTGCGTTCTCCTGGCTTTGCAGAATTTTTTGGACATTCCACGTTGCCGTTTTGCCGAGGAAGACAAAGAAATGTACCAAAATTTATAAGGCACGAGCACAGCCATTGACCCCTCATAAACCGTTTGATTAGTTCCCGTCCACACTATAAGCCGAAGAAATTTGAAAAGGCCACAATCACCGGCAATTTTGGATTTGCGCTCGGGTAAGGATACAACTGCACACACACGGCGCAAGCCGTCCAGCGTTTTCCTTTGAAAAAAAAAGGCGCCTGTGACTCATCCTCGAAACGTATGACTGTTTTTGCATTATTTTTCTCTGCTCATGCATTTTACCATTTTTTGTCGAACAACAAAAATATCATTACTTGTTTCTGGTTGCGGAGTTGTAGGTTGGACAGTGACGGTTGTGGACTCCTTGACAGATAAAGAAGTATCTGTAACTACCGACGACGATGTGGAAGACCCTTTAATCATGACTTGCTGAGTTGTTGGTTGGACAGTGACAGTTGTGGACTCTTTATCAGATGTCGGAACTACCGACGACGATCTGGTAGACTTTTGAATACCTGTTGAAGACGTGATACGCATGACGCTTATATCTATTCCTTGCGTTGTGCTGCTTGCTGCAGCGGAAGTTCTTGTCGTTGTACTTGTAGGTGGGGTAATAGTTGTTGTACTGGCCCTGGAAGTACTCACTGCATGTGTTGCTGTCACACTTTTAGATACTGAAGGTGAAGGCAACCCTTTATTTAAATAATAATATTAATAATTTAAATCAAAATGCGCATTTCATACAGTTCTACATAAACAAACGTCTCCACACGTAAACAGCGTCTCCCGCTGATGAGAAAAATACTTGAGAACATTTTAGTGTGTCAGTTCTTAGGTCATTCGACGTTACGTTTCTGTGGTAACCAGGTGCTAAAATTGTGTTTCTCAAACACTAAAATTGCGCTTTTCAAACGTCGATTTTAAGATTTTGGATTTCTACCATAGCCTTAAGGGTTGTTGCATTTTACACTTTTTCTGACCTTTGAAACATTTTAGAAACTGTTCTAATATTTTTCAAACATAATTTAAATCCAAAATGGTGGATGGAAGATGGCGGACTTTCTCGCAAGTTAAAGTTACTTAGGCGTTATATGACGTCATGATTAACACGTGATTATCACTTAGGAAAATACGTTTGAATGCTCTTCTTGAAGCTTAGGCTTGATTACTGGAGATAAGGTTTACGAAGGAAAAGGCTAAAGCCGGAGTTACGTTAAGAAGGACTACACTCGACTCCCAATAACTCGAACCCTCGCTAACTCGAACCTCGCGCTAACTCGAACCAAAATCGATTTCCCCTGGATTTCCGTCAAACATTTAAAGTAGCTTCACTCTGGTTAACTCGAACCCTCGATAACTTGATCCTCCCGCTAACTCAAAGCAATTTTCGTTTCCCTTCAGGTCAGTTTCTACCTAATTTTACCCTCGATAACTCGAACCATGTCTGTCAATACGTGACAAGTCACAACCAACAGTGTACGGTAGTCCAAAACATTAAATTTATTTTGAGGAAGCCGGGAACTTTGCACAATAATTTAGAGATGTATCTTGTTTTATTTTCACTCGACTTCTTTATTCTGTAATTAAATTTGATTAAAATGTACACTGCATGAATAGACACCGTTTTTTTCTTATTACGGGTGATTTGTTCTCAACTCCCGATATCTCAAACTCCCGATAATTCGAACCTATTTCAATTTCCCTTGAAGGTTCGAGTTATCGGGAGTCGACTGTATAACAAAACAAAATAAAATAATGATAATCAAATAATATAAGTTCAGTAAACTGAATAAAATCACAGTAGCTAAAAGACAATAAAAAAACCTACCCGTTTCACATTTACTTCCCGTATATCCTGTTGGACATTTGCATGAGTAATTGTGGAAACCATCCACACAGGATGCACCGTTCTGACATGTGTGGTTAATGCAGTAGTCAATGTCTGTAAAATGATAATAAAAAGGTTGCAATATGTAAACTCGAGTAGAACTCAAAGGCCGACACACAATATGAAACTAGAAAACAACAACAACAACAGCAACAACAACAACAACACCGGAACAACAATTTACCTGTTTCACAGTGATCCCCGGTATATCCTTCTGGGCAGTTACAGGAATAACTGTTGGCACCATCTTCACACGATCCATTATTACTGCATGTGTGATTTACACAGTCGTCAATGTCTGTAAAAGAATTGGCGAGCCATAGGGATGATATAAGTAGTTATAATGCGACACATTTATGAGGCATTGTAATTATCTGAATACTGAGCAGGTTGGATGCTGCTTTTCAGTTCAAGTTCTGTAGATGTCTTACCTGTACTTACTCTGTAGCCAGTAGGCAACAGTTAACCAAAGACTATGATCGTCATAGTCTCTATTAGTCATTAAACATCTAGATAGCAGCAGACATGTAAAGATTTTAAGGAAAACGACAGACATGTTTCGACAGAACTTCTGTCATCTTCAGTTGAATGAATGATTACAAAGCCCTCCTTTTTAAGTTCTCCTAAAAGACCGACTTCTTTTGCCTCGCCACGTGATCATCAACGGCAGTCTTTTCTCGCGGGTAGCCTTAGCTTCGAGGAATTATTTTTACGAATTTCGGAGATTGTTGCCCACAAGATTTTTGAGGTCTATGCATGCACCTGTTTCGCGGTGATTTCCAGTAAATCCCAGTGGGCAGTTACAAGAGTAAGTGTTGATATCATCTTCGCACGTTCCACCATTACTGCATGTGTTATTAATACAGTAATCGATGTTTGCAAACGGAATAAAAGAGATCAAAAGATCATATAAGTCCAATAACTTTGTTGTAATTAATCAATAATTTATTAATCCGGTGGATATCATTCTGACAACGCGAACAACGTGCATGCTACCTGTTTCACAGTGATCTCCAATAAACCCCACTGAGCAGTTACAAGAGTA